GTACAAATTCACACCTACTATCAACTTCATAACATATGATTGTCATCTTCCTAATTCAATGTGGAATAGTCAACTTTGTGTTTATGATTACATGATCAGATATTTGAACTCATATAACTCACAGTGATCATAATGAAACAAGTCAATATACATGAAATGAATACTTCTCTTAGAAGGTGAACTATGAACACTTTATAATGAGAACATTTGCAAAGATTCGAACTAGTGATTTATAGTCAATCAAATCAACTAATCCTTATTTCACTTTTAAATTAATTGAAACTAATTGACAGAAGGGGTTTTTGTGGAGATTTAATATTTACTATAGTTGAAAGCGTGAGTCAATTGAAGCTAGACCACCATGGAAAATTTAGAAGCACTGGACGGCCGTTTCGTCCTATTATGGGACTCCTCAGCAATTGAAACACACATAATGATAACGTTCACATAAGACAATGAAAATAGTGAATCATTTAACTTAATGTTGGCATATATACATATAGATTGAATAAAGTATTATTATTTAGTGTCTAGTAGTGGAATCCAGGGGAAGTATCATATTTCTACAATTGAAGAACATATGGGACTCAAAACAGCTATCAATCAATATGAAAGTCAGAATCTTCAATACGAACACCAAGATAGTTCTACTGTATGGAGCTGAAATGTGTTAGGACTACTAAAATCATCGTCAACATTCACTGGTCGGATACTATCAGCAACAGTGTTTTATGGGATAGAACAAACCAGCTTCTCGCTGAAGAGGAAATTAGGAAAAGACATTAGAAGTTGATCCGACATACATTAAGTAAATCATCAAACTACATCACGAGGCAATCCCTAACTTGGAATCTGGAAGGGAAGTGGAAAAGAGGAAGGTCGAAGAACAAATTACTCCGATAAATTGAAGCATATTTGAAAAGGATGAATGTTAACTGAAAGTAACTGGAAAAGGATTGCCGAAGACAAAGTGTGATGGAGAATGCTGGTGTGAGGCCTATGCTCCTCGTTGAGGAGTAACAGTCGTAAGTAAGTTAGTAAGTCGAATCCAGGATGCACGTTTCGTCCTTCTCTGGGACTCATCAACTGAAGGTATCTGCATTTCAAACTAATTGAAACAAACATAGTGTTAATGTTCAGATAAGACAATGAAACTAGTGAATCATTTAATGTGAAATCACCAATGTAGTGTCTATTACTTCCCTATAGATTAATAACCAGGGAGGAGATTCATTAAATAAACTATACAGGATATGAATTGTATTCTTGATACTTTTTTTATTCTTTATAAAATATAATTCATAATCATCATTATTGTAGTTCTCTTCTTTTCCTTTATCATCCGGGTCTTTTTCTCTTCTTCTTCTTCTTCTTCTTCTTCTATAATATCTCTTCAAGAAAGTAGATGAATCCATCCATTCTCCTTTTCTTCCATTCATCCATTCACCTATCCACCCAACAACCAACACCATCATCATCACCACCATCACAACAACAATAAAGATACTTCATATTGAATAAGTAATAATAAATTATCCCTAAAATCAATAATTTTTTTCTTGTTGTTATTGTTTATTTTAAAAAGTTTTCTTTTTCCCCCCCTTTCCCCCTCCCTAATAAATATGGGGATAAATAATTGTTTTTCTTAACCGGATATTCAAAAATATTGATTAAATTAAAAGAAATTAATTATCATTGTAAATAAGTAAATAAGTAGTATAAGGTAGTCTTAGTGTTAGTAGTATATAAGTCTTATTATTATTTTCACAATTGAAAGCGTGAGTCGATTGAAGCTAGACCATCAAGGAAAACCTAAAATCACTGGACAGTCGTTTCGTTCTATTGTGGGACTCCTCAGCAGTGCGTATCCATGACATCGCTTCGTGAGACTCCAACCCAGGACCTACAATTCTCGCACCAGAGCACTTAACCAATAAACCACTGAGCCGGCATCCGATGATGTATATGTCTAACTCCAACGAATCCACGAAGTTGAGCAACCGTCATTATTATTTATTAATAATACTGATAGTCAATAAATCATCATTGAATATATATATATATATATATATATATGTACCGGTAGTTAGTCATAGATAATCTTGAATCTAAGACAAGTAAGATACTTTTGTGTAGATGTTCATCAAATAATAACAATGATGTACTCTTAACTCTTAGTCCATTTCCGAGAAGAATCTGTAACTTTAATTAAGTAAAGAGTAACCCTGACTGGGATAACTATCTTGATATATATCTTCGAAATGAATACAGATAGAGATTATATAACAGTACATCTTGGAGTAAGTTGTTAGAACATATTATTAGCAATTAAGTAAGCCTTAGTGGTCCGAGTCCCACTTATGGGATCATGGATGCGTTCTACTGAGGAGCTTCATACTAGGATGAGTTGACTGTCAATTGATCTCAGGTTTTCAATGATGGTAAATTATTAGAACACAATATTAATGAGTTCTATATTAGCAATTAAGTGAGCATCAGTGGTTCGAGTCCTACCTATGGGACCACGGATACGAACTGCTGAGGTGCTCCATACTAGGACGAGATGACTGTCCAATTATCCCATGTTTTCAATGATGGTTTAGTTTAGATTGACTCACGAATTCAACTATTAAAATTAAATATTTACCAAACAGTTCTTAGATCTTTTTGACTCACTATCAACTAAGACCAATTGTGACGTATTTTCGAAGGGAGGGGGTAGGGTCAAAGGTATCAATAATTAGTGAGTTGTAACATAATTCTACATTCTAATGCGCAAAGTTCTATTGTTGTCTTTTTAATGCATATACTATATTCATAGTTGAAATTATAAGTCAATCGAAGCTAGACCACCAAGGAAAACCTGGAAGTACTGGACGGCTGTTTCGTCCTATTGTGGGACTCCCCAAAAGTGCGCATCCACGATCCCATCTCACGAGGTTCGAACCAGGGACCTATCAGTCTCGCGCGTTAACGCTTAACCTCTAGATCACTGAACAAGCCGGCATCCAACGGTTTTAATGTCCTACTTCAACCAATCCAAGAAATTGTACCACTGTCTACCATTGTCTTTAGTGAGTTGATATCTCCCAACAGACCTGGTTGAACTCCACTGGTCACTGCTTCTCACTAGAACTTCAGGACGGAACGGTCGTCCAGTGTTTCCAGGTTTTCCATGGTGGTCTAGTTTCAATTGACTTGTGATTTCAACAACAAAAAACCCTTTCTGATAAAAACTCTTTTCCTCGTCTGAGATTAGGGTATCAATTTAAAAATTTGAAACTTGTTTTAAACAAAATTTACCATTCAACAAAACATACTGTTGACCATATGGAATTATTGTTTTTTTGAATAGTGAGTGTATTCAGGCTAATTTCTGGCAATTGTAGATATAAATTCGCCCTGGTATAACCGAGGATGAGGAGAGCTAGCTCTCACTCTACAAATGCTCTCACATGATCACGTGCATACAACCACTACCAAATAAGTCCCACTTACTGCCTTCGCGTGACATTACTGTTGTTACGAAATTGAAAGGAACAAGAGAGAATGCCCGACACTTTAACTGAGTTGGTGGATATGAAAGATACACCTAGGAAAGTTGGAAAAACTCTGACTCCAAACCAATGGTGCACATGAGTTACAGGATAGTGAAGGAACAATTGGTCATCGGGACTGCATCTTCTGGTGTTGCTCCACTGCCTCTAGGTGTGACCCCGTAATAAAATCACTTGCTTCGACTTGAACACCTGGCTGGTATCACAGCCCACACACAAATTAAGCGACTTATGTGGCGCATACGCATCTGATGCTTCCTTGTACCAATATTTATGTGTTTAAATGTATATATATAGAGATTCAAAGACAGTGTGAGAAAATTTTTTGCCTGATATTCGTTTTATTAATTATCTAAAAGTTTCGTAGATCTAGTAAGGACCTGTGACTAGTGGAGTGTAACCGTGTCGGATGTGTCATAGGTACTCACCAAAGAAAATGAAAATAGTCCCACAGTATCGTAAATAGAATAAACTTGAAAATGTTAATCATTATTATCGATTTATTGGTCTAAATATCATGCTCTCGCCGTTTGACTTAAAGGTGCTAACTTCAATCCGTGATTGAATCATGGATATGTGCCACTGTGGAGTCATATATTAAGAACACATTATTATCCAGTTCCTCTTCATTTTTATTGATTACTTAACGTAGCTCGGTTTTTTGATCATAATAACATTTAAAAAATTTGTATAGTGGAGAAGATTTGTAGCTCAGATGGATGATTTTGATATAGGTTTGTTCTCTGAGCTGGATGATTTAATCATGAATCTTTCATTATCCTTCTGAATGACATCAAACACTTTACTTCTATCTGAAGTTTTTGCTTATGATATCGTTCAGAAGGATGATGAATGCTTCACGACCAAACCATACAGATCAGAGAACAAACCTATATGAAAAAGAAACTGGTATCAAACCTTCATACTGATAAATTGAAATCGATTTGTGTAAACATTTAACAAGGCGATTTTAACCTTCATTCATTCATTTATAACCACTTTTTAGAAGGATTTACCCAATCAGTTAAAGGAATGAAAAAATATCAACTATTGGAGTTATTTCAGATTTAAAGTTCTGTGTTCGAATCCCAGGATAAATTACAATTCAAATAGACAATATCATAATGTTCTATTCATGACACATGTGATATAGTAACTTATTAAAGACAATGGTTGGACGGTGGTTAAATTTTATAGATTGGTTGAAGTTAAACATTAACACCGTTGAATGTCATCCAATTCAATGGTCTAGAGGTTAAGCGTTCATGCTTGATACCGAATGGTTCTTGTTTCGAATCTCACTAGGCAGGATCTTAAATGAGTACTATTGAAGAGTCCTATACTAGGACGAAACCAACGGTTCAGTACTTTCAGGTTTTCCATGGTGGTCCCTTATTATAATATTAAATAAATATTTATATAAAATATAATTATACTACTTACTTTCCCTCTAATTCCATAATTTATACCAGTTTGATCAATTAATTTTGTATGTGTACGTGAATCAATAATATTTTCAATCATTTTATTTGATTGACACATTAATAAAGGATTATATCGATTTGGATGATGGGGATTTTGATGTTGTTGAAGCTGTTGCTGTTGGTGATGATGAGGATGATGAGGAAGATGATGAGGAGGATGAGGATGATGGTGTGTCGGTGACATTAGTAGTTGAATATTTTGATCATCTTGTTCATCATAAATTTGATTTAGTTCATTATGTAAATTGTATATTTTATTTCTATTATTTGTATATTTTAATAAATTTAAACAATCATTTTCAATGAGATGGTTAGGATGTTGTTGGTGTTGTTGTGAAGGAGTATGACGTTGAGAACTTTTTATATTTTTATTATGATCATTAATGATCATTTGTTGATCATTAAGATAATCTGGATCGTCCTCATCAATATCTTCATCATCATCACCACCACCATCATCGACATCGTCATCATCATCATCATCGTCGTCGACATCTTCATCGATACCATCCTCTTCTCCTTCATCTTCTTCATCCTCATCATTAACCTCTCTTACAGGATTATCAGAAATAGTTTCTCTATTATCATAATCGCTTTGTTCTTTTATGGTGTGACAAACATTCCTATCAACATCATTTAACTCTTTATCTTGTATTCTAGATATAATCATTGAATTAGTCGTTGTATTCATAGAATGAGTAGTACAATCTTCATGTTTCATTCTTTTATTTTTCCAATTTTTATGATATTTATCATCTATATCATTATGAACATTGTCGACGACATAATCGTCATCATCGTGTCCACAACTTTGACTATCGTCGTCGTTATTATCGCCATCATTGTTATGATTGATATCATGCTCACTTTTGACAATATCCATTTTATCAATTTGATATGAATAAGCATCATGATGATGATGAAGAAGAGGAGGTGGTGGTGGTAAACAATGCTTATCATTATTCATAAAATGATCAATACTATTAGTATTAGTATTATTATTATGTACAGGGTTCACAGGATCCATCTCGTCCATACTGTTATCATCTAAAGTCTGTCGAATACTACTATTATTACTATTCGTAGTAGTAGTACTAGTAGTACAAGTAGTATTCGTATTAGTAGTATCCATCGTTTTCATAAACCATGATTGATTTTGACTTTTATTCACATAATTAAATGGAATCATACTCTCTGAATTAAATGAATCTTTAGAAGGAGGCATAAATGGATTAGAATTAATACAATTCAATAATGATGAATTCATCTGTTGACGTATTGTATCCACTGATGATGATGAGGAGGAACAAGAGGAGAAGGAGGAAGTGATGGAGGTGGAGTTGGAAGTGGAAGATGAAGTGGATGACGTTGAACAAGAACCATTCATTATTAAATTCAATGTATCATTATGAAATTTTTCATTAATTAGATTATGATCCAAATTTATTGGATAATTCATCATTGAATGTGATTCATTATTATTATTATTATTTATAATCGTTTCATGTGTAGCCATATCATAAGTAGTATTATAAGTAGTATTTATAAATCCCGAAAAAAAAGTGAAGCTTATTCCAATTCAGATAGATCAATCAAAGTAGTTGTATATACATGAAATCATTCCTTGTTGTTGTAGTGGTTGCTGATGTTTTTGTTACTATGGCTATATATATATATACTACTTAAATAGGTTGAATTCAGTAATCTTTCTGAAGAATATATTCCATTGAATAATAATAATAATAAGAAGAAGAAGAAGAAGAATAAATGATCTCTCATGAATTCATTCTATTCAATATGATCAGCATATTGTCTATGAAGATCATCATCAACATTTATTTTAATATAGTAATCATAATGATGTATACAATCTATTCTAATTTATCTGCGATTGGTTAATATGACTGGTTAAATTGCGTGAACCAATCAAATTTGAGCTAATTCTTAAATGTGATCCGATTAGATGATGTTGTTTTTGGTTTTCTCTGTTTTTTTTTTTGGTTTTTTTCTGGATTTTTTTTTCTTTTTGAGGATAGAAATAATGACAACTAACAGAATATATTGTATTATATTTCACTGCTAGCCACTAACCATCTTTGCTTAAGGTACTATATTGTTTATGATAGAAGACATTGGCTTATCTAATATTTAGTTCCTATGTATCACCAATCATAATGTTTTCTAACCAAGTATGTATCCATGCTTATGTATCTATGTGTATAGGTTACTTATTAGTTACATAGAAGAAGAGGAAGAAGAAGAATCTAACTGTTTTTCATACTAATGAAAGTGGTTAGGGGTGTTCATTTTCGGGCAGACAATGTATAGTTCGAGGTTGTGTTTATTTATTTTTGAAAGACACATCTTATTATATGGAGATTTCTCCCCCCCCCTCTTTCCTAATCTTTTATGATTGTTTATAATATAACTGTTACTGGATGACAAACAAAGGGGGGTGAAAGTTGGAAGGGAAACACATGGATGTTTGTAACTGATTGTTGAATAGGTTAAAAAAGGTATGGAAATATTTTCTAATAATAAGTAGTGTAATCAGTCAATATGATGAGAAAAAGAAGGGTAGACGTGATCTGTATAAGAAATTGATTTTTATTATTATTATTATTATTATTAAATGTTTTTCAAAGTTGAAATCATGAGTCAATTGAAGCTAGACCACCATCGAAAACCTGGAATCAATGGACGACCGTTTCGTCGTTGTTGTGGGACTCCTCCATGGCAGTGTGCATCCACGATCCCGCACTCACGAGACTCGAACCCAGGACCTACCAGGTTCAGTGGTCTATCGGCTAAAGGATCTGGCTCGAGACTGGTAGGTTCTGGGTTTGAATCTCGCGAGGCGGGATCGTGAATACTCACTGCTGAGGAGTCACACAGTAGGATGTTTCCAGATTTTCCATGGTGGTCTAGCTTCAATTGACTCATGATTTCAACTATGAAAAATACTGAAATCTCCACAAATCCCCTTTTGATTATTAAATGTATTTACTAAAGAATTTAATTTTGAGTAAAGATTTATTGTAAGCATGTATAATGTTATATAACTGGTATGTGCTGGGTTCGAATCTGGCGAGAGGTCGGATCGTGGATGCGCACTGCCACTGAGGAGTCCCACACTAGGATGAAACGGCCGTGCAGTGCATCCAGGTTTTCTCTGGTGGTCTAACTTCAATTGACTCATGATTTCAAGTATGTACAAAAATTACCTGAAATCTCCACAGAAAACCCCCTAAGATAACAATTATTGAATTGAACAATGATTACTATGGATAGTATATAGCTAAACAAATTTACTTGGTATTGTTTGCATGTATCTTCCCATTGTTGTTTAGGATTGAAATTGATCAGTCTTTTGTTGGCATATATGCATCCTGTGCGGATTGCCTTGATATTGTCTTAATTCACAAGCTTTGCAAGCAATGATGGATAGTGGAATCCAGGACACACATTTCATCCTGTTCGGGACTCGTCAGATGGATGTACTCACATCTCAGAGATGATGTTCACTCCAGGACTCAAACCCAGTATCGTTCGCTGACGAGTCCCAAATAGGACGAAACGCGCGTCAAACTACATTCCACTGCTAGCCACTATCCATCTTTGCTTATAATGCTTGTGAACTAAGGCAATATCAAGGCAATACGCACAGCATGCACATATGCCGACAAGAGACTGATCATTTGCAGCCCTTAACATCAATGAGAAGTTTCAAGCAAACAATACCAAGTGAATTTGTTTAGATTTGTTTTAGCATTTGACGTAGTTAAACTTCACTAGTTATAGCTTTTTCCTACAAGGTTTGAAACTCTTAAAGATGTACCTGGGAAGCATAATTGATCAACAAGGAGGATCTGATGCAGATTTTAAGGCGAAGATTGACAAAACAAGGACCACAAATCTGCAATTAAAGAACATATGAAACTCAAAACAACTGTCAGCTAATCTTCAATACGAACGTCACTACACTCCTACATTACGGAGATGAAACGTGGAGAACTACCACAATCATCATCGAAATAGTACAAGGATTTACAAATAATTGTCTACGCAAGATACTAAATGTCCGTTGACCGGATAACATCGGCAACAGTCGACTGTGAGATAGAACAAACCAACTTCCAGATGAGAAGGAAATTAGGAAAAGACATTGGAAGTGAATAGGACACACATTGAGGAAATCATCAAACTGTATCACTAGGCAAGTGCTAACTTGGAATGTTGAAGGTAAACGGAAAACAAGAAGAAGACCAATGGATATATTGTGTTGAAAATTGGAAGCAGACATGGAAAGGATGAGTATGAATTGGAAAGAACTGTAAAGTATTGTCCAGGACAGAATTGGATTGTGAATGCTGTTAAGTGTTCTATGCTTCTCCATGAGGGTTGGCGATAAGTGTAAGTAAGTTTTTATGGTACCCAAATTGAGATCAATCTCTAATGAATACAGTTTACAAAATCATTACAAAAATTGTAATATAAATGTATATATAATCGAAATGCTGGTCAGACACTGTCAGAAGCAACCTACTGAGGGAGAGAACAAACCAAATTCCAGCGGAGGAAGAAATCAGGAAGAAGCGCTGGAAGTGGATAGAATGCAAAATAAGGAATGCACCCAACTGTGCCACAAGGCAAGTCCTCACACGGAATCCTCAAGGTCAAAGGAGAAGAGGCAGACCAAAGAACACATTACGCCGAGAAACAGAGACAGACTTGAGAAGAATGAACAAAAATTGGATAAAACTAGAGAGGAAGGTTCAGGACAGAGTGAGTTGGAGAATACTGGTCAGCGACCTATACTCCATTGGGAGTAACAGGCTCAAGTAAGTAAGTCACTAATCATTCAAATCAAAATATCTTAATGTTATTTGGATCAAATATACATTTTATTACTAGTTTTATTTCCATAGTTGAGATCATGAGTCAATTGAAACCACTAAGTAAAATCTGGAAGCATTGGACGACCGTTTCGTCCTTGTTGTGGAACTCCTCAGTGGCAGTGCGCATCCACAATCTCGCCTCGCGAGATTCAAACAAACAAAATTTAATTTAATTACAGAGCCATACCTATATAGTTTACCATATGATGTTTATCGATCATCTTACTTTACCCATTATTATTACTATTACCATTATTATTATTAGTAGTAGTATTACCGTTATTACTACTAATACTACTATTATTAGCATTATTACTTACTTACACCTGTCACCCCTAGTCGAGGAGCATAGGCCTCTCACAAGCATTCTCCATTCAACTCTGTCCTGAGCCTTCTTTTCCAGTTCTTTCCAGTTAACATTCATCCTTTTCGTATCTGCTTCTATTTCCCGGCGTAATGTGTTCTCTGGCCTTCCTCATTTTCGTTTCCCTTCAGGACTCCAATTTAGGGATTGCCTTGTAATATTACTATTGTTACTATCACTATTATTATTATTATTACTGTTTACACAGAAATCTTAAGTAAACTAAGAAAGTTGTTAATCATAACTGACTCATCTAATCAGATTCATGGTAGCGGTTCCTAGTCAACATCTATGTAGATGCTCTATTCACGTATAAATAGGACCAGGCTAAGGAGATTTCAAAGGAGTTAACTATATCAAGTCCATAAAGTCAATGATTTGATCTTTGATTTGTGTAGACAATCACAGATTATCAGACAGATTATCGTCCTAATGTGGAACTCCTCCGTAGCAGTGCGCATCCACGATCCCATCTTGCAAGATTCGAACTCAGGATCTATCAGTCTCGCATTCTAGCGCTTAACCATTAGACCACTGAATTGGACAGCATCCAACGGTGTCGCTTAATTTCGTGAATCAGTTGAAGTTAGACATGTAAGAAGGACGAAAAAAAAATGAAAACCAATAAAGTATATTTTATCATAATCAATATAGTTTTCTTCAAAAAAAAGATGAGTATAGACTTGACAGAAGCAAAAAAACACATTAAAAGCAATAATCATTCCTTCTTTTTATTTTTCTTTGTCTGTCTAAAACATACATACATAGATACTGTGTATCTACTTAGTTGCCTGTTATAGAGATATAGCAGGTGTAATGTATATATAACTCCGCCTGTAGCTTCTCCTGGGCCTACTGCCGATCGCAAACCCGGGTAAAGGAGGAGGGTTGAGCATGGGGTTAGCGACCCTATCCTGTAGAAAAACTAACTTGCTAAAAAAATGCTAACCAGAAAAACTAATTCAAACTATGTAAACTCTGTCCTAACAGTTGAAGAAATAAGCAGATATGAAAAGGATAAACAACAACTGGAAAGAACTGGAAAGGATTGACCAGGACAGGGTTGAATGGAGAATGCTAGTGGTCGACCTATGCTCCTCCACGAGAGGTAACAGGCGTAAGTATGTAGATATACTGTCATTGTTGTTATTCTGTGTCACAGTTCATAAAGTAATCATACTTAAGCTTGATTCCATTATTGCTATTATTATTATTATTATTATTATTATTATTATTATTATTATGAGGTGTAATGTATGTATGCCTTAATCTTATGGGCAATGAATAGCTGAAATTTAATTGAAGGTAAAGATGGACAGTGGCTGGCAGTGGAATCCAGTTTGATGCACATTTCGTCCTATTTGGGACTCGTCAACTGGATGTACCTGCATCTCAGATTTGTTGATGTTCACTTTGGGACTCGAACCCAGTACCTTTCACTTCAAACGTCATCGCGTTATCCATTTAGCTACTGAGACCTGATAACCATTTGCTTGTGCAATGGCGTGAAGTTTAAATTCACTTGGCATTATTTGTTTGTGAATTAAGGCTACATTGAGGCGATACGTACA